ATTAGATTTTGAAACTGAAAATGGAGGTTTGGTAGGAGAATTATTTTGAGATACCCAAGAAAGTAAGGGTGAATTTAAAAAAAAAAAAAAAACATGTTTAGTAGCACATTTGATAAATTTTTTTCCAGAAAAGTTATTTTCATTGGAGGACTGTTTGGTATGGAGATTTTTTTAGAAATCCTGATAAAGTAGAGTGAGGCAAAAAAAATTTCCAACGTTTGGTACGAGGAAAATGAAAATATTCCTCAAGAAATTTTTTTTCTCATTATTTCAATTTTAACTACAGAATCCCAAATGAAAATAAAATATTATGTGATACATGATATTTCTATTTTTCAATAGTATCAGTATAATTAACCCAAAATTTTTGAAAAAATTTTGAACCTACCAAATATCTTTTGATAACTTACCCTAAAAAAAATATTTCATATCATATTCCCAAAAATCTTTTTTTATCGAAAAAAGGAATATCTCCTCTGCAAAACACCAATTCCTTTTTGTGCGTATATATGTGATTAGAATACCATAGAAAAATATCACCTAGAGAAGGCTCCGCAACCATTCCGCTTCGTGCAATGCCGTCCCCGACAGTCAGAAGTCAGAACCAAGGAATACTCGTGATTTTCAATTTGGACATGGAGGTGTCCACTGAGAATTTTCGACGAGTGTTTTAAGCTTTTTGCATTTTCAATTTATCAATTGTTTTGCCTTTTTCTTTTGTTTTCATGAAGTGAGATTTGAGGTAGAGTGTTTTAAAATTTTAAGTTTTTTATTTGACGGTTTGGGTGATGCTGATGAGATTAGATGTCTCCATCTCAGTCTTTTGTGTCTCCATTTTCACTCATGGAAAAAGAATCAAAGATTCGTGGAGTTTTTTGACATAAGAGACGCAGCAAAGGCATTGAAAGAGATGAAAGACACGGAAATTAATGGGAAACATGTCGTTATTGAGTTTAGTAGACCAGGTGGTCACACCAGAAAGTTCTTCCATTCTTCAAACTCTACCATCTCAAAAAAGCTCCTCAATATCGTTCTTGAAGAAACCCAGTTCTGTAACATTTATTTTGTTGTCGTGGTTGAAAAGTCAGAAAGTGGGTTGTTCTTGTTTCATTGAGTATGGTTTCGTAAAATCACTTCACATTCTCAACAATATTTCACGGTCATTCAGTAATGTTTTTTTCGCCTAACAAATAATTTTTTGTTAATATTCCGAGAAAATTAGTTTTTCCAATATATTTCTAGAAATTATGATTCCCAAAAATAAAAAAATATCTCTTCTATCAAATATTCTTAAGAAAATTTATATTATTTAATGAAAAATATGTTGGATTTATTTTCTTTTACTTAAGTCCAATGCCAAGGATTCTAAATTTGGTAGTTTAAGATTGCAATGTTTGGTACACAAAAAAAGAAAATTATCTTGGGAAACAAATTTTTCAGGATTTCCATTCATAGTGCAAAAGTGGACCAAAATTCCAAATACCAAAAATAAGTTGGAATTCTTCTTTTCCAAAAAAAATGGAACAAGAAGTGCAAAGCAATAGACCAAAATAACCCTATTGATGCATTGTGTCATATCCTTCTGAACATACAAAGGGTAAAGGTGGAGTTATTTTCGTAAAATAACCTTACATTTCCACTAATACTTCACAATCAACCAAAAATTCGCTCAGTAAATTTAAGCATAAAATCTCGGGAAAATTTGATCTTACCAAACATATTTTTAGTAAAATTTCTGAAAAATTTATTTCTCGTTATATTCCAGTAATAATTTTTTCTCAGATAAATAAAAATTTCTCTTCTACTAAACGCCATTTTAATCTATGAAAAGAGCCCCAAATAACTAAGGCCCAAATAGCTTAGAACTAAAATTTGTTGATATCATATATACACTATACCACTTAAGCAATCAATCAATTGAAAGAGATAAGTTGGGATATGAAGCCAACACACCATCATTTAAGCCACGCCTCCAATTGCGCTTACAAAATATTTGTCACATAATAACATTTTTTATCCTGGCAATATATTAAAATTAAATTCATAATAATAATATTATTTTAGTCCAAACTTCACAAATTTGTGTACGGATTTCAAAAGCATGCATTGGATGTGTGGATCCGATATAACGGACGAAATGTATTTTATTCATTTCTTTAGAAATTAAAAATTAAAATAGTAAAAAAAAATCTCACTGCCCTCTATTCGGCCACCTCTTCGGATTGTGATAAAATAATTATATTTTACAGTTAATATGATGTTATGTAATTTTTTTAATCTATAAAATCCTGTGCCCTTTTATAATTTTTAATAATTCTTTGGCATGTTCTACATGTCACCTACATCAGAGATTAATTCCCATGATTTTGACGAACAAATGTAAAATATGAAGTTTTTTAGTTTAGAAAAAGCTTAAGCGACATCAATCAAGAATTTTAATTCAAATTGCCCAAGTTCTTTTGAATCTTGTTTTATGTGAAATTTGAAAGCCAATTAAGCCACCACCCCCTCCCTCACTCCACAAATATTCTAAGTGCCACCAGCAACAAGACCAATGAATGAAACATGACCAATGAATGAAACATATATGCTTCTAAACCTTAAAATAACTCCCAAGATAGAAAGGCTCCAAATCCAACTACTCCATTGAAAGAGACTTTCCTGAGTCAACAACCTCCATATATATGATATAACCTACTTTATCGCCAACTATGATAATCAATAGGGCAATAGCTCCGCATAAAGTTATTGATCACTACTTCCCAGACCACACCAACATCACCCGCCATTTACTTTTTAATATACATATAATCGATGTTCACAATTAATTTAGAAAATTGTGCTAATTTGGTTTTTTTAGTTAATAACAACCTATTTAACTCAAACTCTAATTGTATATAAGGATCTCGGATCGTATAGTATTAATTTTTTTTTTTTCATATCAGAAAACCAAGTACTCTCTCGAAGTGTAAGTATCCATGCATCTAAAGTCTAAACTTGCCTGACGTTATTTTTTTGAAGAGAAAAAGCTGATAAGTCACTAATAAATCTATCTTGTTCAACTCTTATACATATAGAACGTGACACGCATTTAAAAAAAGTAACATATAACATATACTTGTTATGCAATCATTTATGTATTGATAAATAGCGTATGCACTCTACTTAGGATCCCCGGGCACTCACATTGATCAAAATGTAAATCAAACTTTAAATCAGGATTATATATTTCACGCTAAACCATCGTTATGCATACTTATGATTTCCCTTCATGTACGTAATTTTGAATACTAATCATCTATAAATCAAAATGAGATTCAAATAAGTCTTTTGCTATACCCAAAACTTTTACTGTAAAATAAAAGAACGTTTATTTGAATAAAATAATTTTACTTTCAGACAGTTAATTAAGAGGTTTCATAATAGATCCGATACAATGCAAATCGTAAAAGCATAAATGAAAAACTGAAAATCACATAAATGAAAAATCCAAAAAATTGAAGAAAAAAAAGAATAAAATCAAAATAAATTTTTTTAAATAAATTGTATTAGTTTTCGGTTCTTATTTTTAAAATTAATCTAACCCAAACCAAAACTATAGACATATCATATATATACACGCACATATAATAAGTTATTATACCTGATAACTTAATTACCACCATAATTGTACAAACAATAACTTCACACTATTATTTTAAAATCCACAAGACATCCAATGTGTTTGAGAAATCTATTTAACCTGAATTAATGCATGACATATAATATTGAAATTCCTAAAAATTGCAATCACTTAATCCAATGTTATTAAACTCGAACCGTTCATCGACTTAGTCGAGTACTGGATCGGTAGGTCGCTGGTTGAACTGCTTATTGAGTTTATGTAAAGATATATATTAAAGGGAAAAGATCCGTTTACAAATTTTTTTTACAAATTACGCTAAGTATGACCGGTCATACTATACACTCTTGATTGAAGTATGACCGATCATACTTAATGTAGTTTGTAAGAATTTGTACAAAAAGTTTGTAAATATAATTTTCTCCTATATTAAGTATATAAATAAAAATAATATAACAATCAAAGTGATTTGACTTTATTGTTAGCATTTTACTTCTTTTTCCTGAAGTGTCAAGGGATTCATCGATTCTTGATCGGTTTACATGCATAATTAGTTAATTTTAAAATCAAATTAAACCACTTTAAAATTAGATCAAATTAAATTTTAAAATCAAACCAATTGTATCGGATGAATTTCTTTCTCGATGTAAAGAATCTTAGAATACACCACTCTAAAAGCTAGCTCAAGGGGTGAGAGTACCCAAGACCTTATAAACTCCACATTAGTTGCACATACAACCAATGTGAGACTATATATCTCAACACTCGACAAAATCCAATATGGCGAAAACTACTTGGATGGAAAGAACTTTACGACAATTCCTAAACTGAAAATAATATAATATACTATATCCTTCCAACAGGAGCATAACACATAGCTAATATGTTTTCTTGAAGATAGAAAAAAAATTAATTTTAATATTATAATTATTTATTTTGAAATACACAATTGTAATTTCATTTTGAACAAGAGTTCCAAGTACTCAGTGTCACGATAATACCAAAATATTTTCCTAAACTGGTAGGCACTTATTTATCTAGTAGTAATGAGGGGGACTCACATGTCTTTAATCATATATCTTAGATAGAATAAATTGTATTGGGTGGGTTATTATTTTCCCAAACGCGAAAGGTGTGTGTACCGGTGTCCGTACGCCAATTATAGAGATAACATAATCTCTTTCAATTATGATGAGCTTTATACCTGTAGCTAGAAAATCGTGTAAGTACGATTTCTTTCTTGAAGAACCAAATCCATCCCTATCTTCCTAACTAATGAAATGGATAAGCACAAGAAAATAAAATAAAATGAAAGGGATAAGCACAAGAGAAACAAAAGTAGACTCAAAAGGACATGGGTTTTGGTCTAAATTCAAGTTCACCTCTTGTCCCTGGAATTGGAGGGTATGCTAGCTAAACACAAGTTAAGATCAACATCAACATCACCATCAAGATTATGTACTTCTATGAAAGCCTCTTTTCTGGCCCTGCTTTCACCATTTGGTCTCACAAAAGAAACCTGATCATTAGGCTCCACATCGGAGGTCAAAGGTTGTGATGCGTCCCATGCCCTTGGAAACCAAGGATTATGATGATCTGCACCACCAGCTGGTGACCCATGTGGATGAATGAACGGTCCTGATGATCTTGTTGGTCCACGTGTAGCCATGGTAGGAATAGGGGAAGCTGCTATGAACCGTTGATGATGGGGAAGGAGGGGAACAAAGTGTTGGAAATGTGCTAGAGTGGCTTTTTGGCGTTCTCTCTTGTGCGCATTTTGATGGCCACCAAGTGCTTGAGAATTGACAAATTCTCGGCGACAGAAATGGCATTTGAATCTCTTCTTCTTGTTGCCACAAGGAATGGCCTTCGCTGACATGTCTTCTTCGGAGCTAGCTGGTATTAATGGGAAACCGAATAGCTTCAACGTTGTTGAGTTGGAAGAGGAAGCTTTCCTCTCATTTTTATGAATAGGGTTTTTTGATTCACTCATGCTTTTGTGCTGGTTGAGTGGAATTCGCCGATATCAATCTCTGATTATATGCGCCCATATATATATATATATATATATATATATAGCAATAATAACGTTGTCGTTTATGCATACTTTTTTATAATAAAAACAGGGATATAATATTATGCTTATTTTTTTATGTCTATTTTATTTATTTTTTTAAATATGAGTAAAGTTTATTTTGAGTTCTTAATAAAAAAAACACGATCTCCACTTTATTTTCTTACAAAAAAAATTAGTCCCGAGGTCCTTAAGAAATTCAAAGTGGATTCATTTAGTTGAAATCGTGGTCCCTCACAAATTCAAAAAAAACTCACATTAGTTTCTTAAAAGAATTAAAATGGGTCCACTTTGAATTTTATAGGACCTCGAAACTATTTTTTTTTTTAAGGAACTAAAGTAAGTATCGTGTTTTTTGTTAGGGACGCACAATAGACTTTACTTTTTAAACAATATTAGATTATAATCTCAACAGGAAAGAGAAAATGTGAACATATGTTAAGATTATAGTCTAAGGTAGTGTTTGGTTGAAGGTTTATTTTGGGATTGATGAGAAAGTATAAGTGGATATTGGAAAATACCACGTTTGGTTCAGGTTTTTTTCAAAAATACTAGGCAAATAGGATAGATGGGAAAATGACTTTTGTGTTGATTTTTGGATGAAATTTACTGTTACAGAATACCACTTGAGATGTGGTATTTTAAGATGACTGGAGAAGTGAAAAAACAGATGCAAAGTTTCTCTCAAACATAGATTTTGCATATTTAAATAAATTTCCCTGGTAATATTTCGGTCAACCAAACAACTTTTTTTATATTTTTCTACCAAACTCATTTTCCAACAATTTTCCTATCAATTACATTTCCCTAGTAAAAAAAAAATTCTCCCGAACCAAACACTACCTAATCTAATAGTAGTAAGGTAAGGGCATAATAAAAAATATAATATCATATCTCATAAAAATAATATAATTATGTGATACATTTTAACGCATACTTAATTTAAAAAAAAATCTAAACAAGGTATAAATAATGATACAAGAAAATAATATGCAAGAATCCTTTCTTTATAGCAAATTATAAATTTATAATTGACGTTTATTAATCTTTGTACCAAATCATTTTTCCTAATTTTTTTAATCAGGTGACAGAAAAAAGTAAAAAAATTACTTATTAATTATATACAGGTAGTTTTCATGTTGTACTTATTTAAGACTTCGTAAATCGATGTTAGTTAAATGTTGGGATCGATCCATGGATGCACCAAACTACACTCTCACTAAGCTTTAAAAAAAATCAACGTTGTTGGATATAATTATATAAATTAACGAAAATCCTATATATAAAAAAACAAAATTTGAAATAGAAACTAGAATGTAAAATTATTGTATTGTATATGCACGTCTGTGCGTAAAGGTTTTGATGTGACACAGCTACAGCGAAAACCTAATTGTGCATAAACAGTGTAAACTTTTGTATGTGTAAATTGTTATTCATATAAAATTGTGTATAAATCGACTACCAAAAAAAATTGTGTACTTAATAACACTTTTAATTGATTTGATTCTTCACACAACATAAAATAAATATTAAAAAATACATATGTATTGTATATGAATTATGTAATTGATAATTCAGTACAGCATATTGTTTCACACTCGGAAAAATCTAACGATACGAATTCAGGGGAGTACATGTCTTTTACAGATTCTATATATATGTATACAATATCATTTAAAACATAAAAAAATTGAAAAGAAGTAAAAAAAATAAAACAAAATCCTAACGAATTGACATAACATTTGAAATAAAATATAATGGTACAATTACAATGCCAAAAACAGTGTGAAACGTAAATAAAATGAAACCACTCAAAAGATGTGCAACTAAACTTTTAATAATACAAAAATATAATTCTTACACATTATTTTTTATATTAATGTTTTACATCTTCTTCGTATAAGAAAAATAAGTATTCTTTCGTGGCTACATTTCTACATTTGCTTGCCGGTAACAGGGCCGGGGCCTTTTCCCTTATCCCAATCAAAGCGAAGTGGATTGTCTTCTTTGGTACTTTCTGTAAAGAAAAGGCCAACAAAAATTTAGGTATGGGATTTGCAATCTGAAAGAATCATGAGAAATCTACCTATATTCAAACTTCATTTCCCATCAAACTGGAGAACAACATAATAGACAAACGGACTCCTTGATCATTAGGGAGTTTATGATACATATAGAATGATTAATTATGATGCCAGTGCATGGTGCGGGATTTCATATATATTGATGACATCATCCTATGGTCAAGCCCACTCATACCACTAGATATTGGTATTGACTCTTATATGACTCTCACCTAAAGTAATTATAGAATGATTTTGATAAACTCTAATTAAATTTTGTAAATATTGTATTTTTTTATGGGTTTAGTGTGTGTACTCTAAAAGGACATAAGTTGTGCCTTTTTTAATTTTTAACACTATGTATTACATGTAATATATAGTTATAATATAAAAAATCATTTTTTCACTTTCCACGTAGCTGAAGTGACTGGAAAGAGAGAAAAGAAGCAATTTTTTACATTATAACTATGTGCTAACCATAGTACATAATGTTAAAAATTAAAAGAATATAACTTATGTGCTTTTAAAGGACAAACCTTTTTCTTTTTTTATTCTGCAGCATTAATCTTAAAAAGTTATACTCTCTCTTGTTGCAATATAATATATATATATATATATATATATATATATAAGGTTAAATATTTTTACAGTCACTTTAGATAAAATTTTCTACATCTATCCTTTTTAACTAAGCATGAGCAATAAGACATAAAAATTGCATTTTCTCTCTCCCGTCATATCAGCCGACAATGTCTGAGGAGAGAGAAAAAAAAGAACATTTTTATTATTATAACAATGTCTTACTAGTCAGACTTAACTAAAAATGGGTAGCTGTAGATAATGTTATTTAAAGTGGTTGTATAAATATTTTTTCATATATATGAGAAATGATATTCTTACTACCAAAATTTTCTACTACTAACTTACTACCTATCTAATCACCATTGAATCAAAGAGAGAGAATGCTAAAAAGTTTTTGAAAAAAGAGAAAATGTTGATCCAATGGTGATTAGATAGGTAGTGAGTTGGTAGTAGAAGAATTTAGTAGTAAGAATATCCCTATATATATATATATATATATATATATATATATATATACATTTTCAATGGTTCTTAAATATATTGGACATTATTCCTTTACATTCCTAGCGTACTTTGCGAATAGAAAGAACATCACAAATATCCATTGTAATCATATACATAAATCCATTAATTTTGAGCCCTTTATTATAAAATCATCATTCTCACTAGGGTTGGCAAAACGAGCCAACCCGGCTCGTCCTGACCCAACCCGAGTTCAACCCGAAAAAAAGAGCCGGGTTAGGGTTGGCTCGAAAAAAAAAATGAGCCAGAAAACCCAACACAGCTCGACCTGAGCCGGGTTAGGGTTGGCTCGCGGGTTGGACCGAAAATAAGCTCGCGGGTTGGCTCAGAAAAAAGCTCACGGATTGGCCCAAAAAAAGTTTGCGGGTTAGCTCAAAATATTGCCAATGGGTTGGCTCGCAGGTTCGCTCGGGGGTTACAAGACCCAAGAAGAAAAAAAGGAAATTATACAAATGGAAAAGTTGAGAATCATTAGACCTCTTTGTTTCATTCTTATCATTTTCGTTGTTGTCTTCATTTGATTCTCGGATTGAACGATTGTGTTGATCTTATGATACAGATAGATAGATTTGGTTGAAGAAGATGTATTGTATTGATTGTAAAAAGCGTTGAAGAGAATGTGTTCTGTGGTTTGGTTTTTGTGTTGAAAAGTATTAGTTTGCTTAATTTATAAATCATGAATGGCTGTGGATGCAGCTCCAGTGCTCGGAGGACGATGGGTAGTGGGTACGGATAGGGCAATTTTTGATATTATTAATTTTTAATTAAAAAAAATCAACCCACGAGCTGGCCTGTTTGACCCGCAAGCTGGCTCGTTTTTGTCCGGGTTGGCTCGGATTGACTCGGGTTGGCAGCTCGTTTAGGCCAACCCAACCCGGCTCATTTATGGCGGGTTACGAGCCAACCCGACGGGTTGGCTCGTTTTTGCCACCCCTAATTCTCACTAGTGCTTCAACTTGTAAATATTCACTTTGAGAGTAATCTTATTTCCTTCATTTTTGCTATTATATAACCTTGGGTAATGTTGAAAAGCGACAAGCACACAAATTGAGAAAACAGAAAAGAGAAAAGGAAATATAGATTGACACGATTATTTATCCTGGTTCATTCAATGTAAGCTATGTCCAGCTTGTCTGTACTATATTTACCTCACTGTCACTCATTACAAGTCACTCAGTTTACAAGGAGAATATAAATAGGATTAAAAAAATCCTAACAACAGCTATTAATAGGCCAAAGCCCAAACTACTAATAACAGTAAAATTACAATAAATCTGAGGACCATAACAGTACCTGGCCTCTACGGGCCCGGAGGCGCTGCCCCTCGGAGGGCCCGCTCACATGGGAGCGGGAACCCAGTTAGCTTTCTGCTGACCCCATCAACAAGAAGGGATGTCATCTGACTGCGAAGGATGAATCATACCCAACATTCTCCCATTTGGCGAATGCTTCGCATATTCCTTCAGTCCCAATGCAGTTGTACCCATTCAAACTTCTCTGAATTCACCGCCTTGGTCGGAAAATCAGCATCGTTGACCTTTGTGTCAACCTTCTCCAGCAATACAACATTGTCTTCAATTTTTTCTCTGATGAAGTGGCACAATATGCTGATGTGCTTGGTCCTTGTATGGAATCCTTGATTCTTAACCAAAAAAATACGCTTTGACTATCACACCCAATGATCACTTCTCCTTATGCAAAGCCAAGCTCTTTGCACAATCTCCACAACTAAATTGCCTCCTTGATAGCATG